GGGCTCTGCATGTGGGCGCCCTTAGCAAGGGCCATCTGGGCAATGCTGTGTTGGGCCCTCTAGCCCAGAGCCCCTGCCATGGGGCCAGTGCCAACACTGCCCCACACAGCCTGGGCGTGCTGGAGCTGGGTCGTGGCTGGCCTGCAGTCCTGCTCCTCATGCTGCGCTCCACGAGGTGCATTCCCAGATCTGCCCCGCAGGGCGGGAGAGTTCCTGTCCCCACAAACCACACAACAGCTGCTGGCCGGGGTGTCCAGGCTGTCCCCGTACAGTGCCTGTGAACAGCCACAGACCCACTCCCGCTCAGGGAACTGACCCTCACTCGGACCCGCTGGCTGTGTTCCCAGCGGCGCCCCAGCCTGCTTTCCCTGCTGCCTTTGGACTGGTCTGCTCCAGCCTCTCTCAGGAGCAGGGAGACCCAAACGCTGAGCCCTGAAACCAGCGCCCAGACGGGTGCGTCACGGACCCTGCCCTGCCCCCCGCTCATACAGATCTAGTTAGGGTGACCAGATGTCCAGCTTTCAAAGGGACAGTCCAGTTTTTTGGGACCATTTTCTTCTATAGGCGCCTATTACACCCCACCCCTGTCCTGTTTTTTTCACAGTTGCTATCTGGTAACCCTAGATCTAGTTAGTAACGCCTGAATTGCAAACACCAGTCCCTGCCCCGCTGCTATCATCGCCCAGCCCTGGCCCCGTCTAGCCTGCCCCACCCACTGGTATCGCTGGCCCGACTCCCTGCCTTCCCCCCCCCCCCCCCTCCCCCCCCCCCGCCAACGCCCCTCAGCCCCCCCCCATCTCTCCCCCCCCCAGCTCCCCTGCCTGACTCCACCCCCCAGGGGCGGCTCCAGGCACCAGCGTGGCAAGCACGTGCCTGGGGTGGCAAGCCGCAGGGGGTGGCAGTCAGGGAGCCTTCGGTGGCACGTCTGTGGGAGGTCCGCCGGTCTCGCGGCTTCAGCGGCAATTCGGCGGTGGGTACCCTGAAGCCGCGGGACCGGGGACCTCCCGCAGGCACGCCGCCGAAGGCAGCCTGCCTGCCGTGCTTGGAGCGGCAAAATACATAGAGCCGCCCCTGCCACGCCCACCTCCATCCCCCTCCCCCCCCCCCCCCCGCCTGCCTCCCGACTCCCCCCCCGCCTCCCTCTCTGCCCCGGCTCCCCTGCCTGACTCCACCCCCGCCTCCATCTCTGCCCCGGCTCCCCTGCCTGCCTTCCCTGATGGTGTTGCCATGTGCGTGTGGTGGGCACATCCCTCCAGCTCTCCAGCCCCCTTCCCTGGCGCTCTCTGTTCTGCAGGCAGAGTTACTCTTATGGGCGTCAGCCCTCCCTGTCTCCTTGCTGCTAGCTCATTATTATGGCCACCTTAAAAGCGTCACGTCCCTCCCTCTTCCAGCTCTGTGGCGCATGGCTCCTATTGTCTAAGTTTGTGCAGCATCTGGCTCGGCCAGGCCCATGGCGATAATACAAACAATTTTAACCCTTCTGCCGGTGGGGGGTCGGGGTCGGCAGCAAGGCGGGCTGGGTTCAGTTTTCTAGGGGTTCCTAAAGGGTCAACCTCAGCTCAAGCCCCCACTCAGAAACTTGGGAACGTATACACCCCCCAGGGCACCTCTGATAGGCAATAGAGTCCGTCTCAAGCCCTGCGCCCATGGGTTCAAAACCAACTCTTGGCGAGAGGGGAGACAACACAATAAATGTGGGCCAGCCTGCAAGTAATAATTCACTTACACCCCTTCAGTCAGACCCAGGGGTCCCTCTCATTTGTTATGTCCATGTGCAGAATGAATTTTGTTATGTGCACCACTATGGAGGTGTTGAGTGACACATGACCTTCATATTGGAGCACATAACAACATTCATGTGGCAGGGGTGGGGCCAAGGGGTTCAGAGTGTGGGAGGGGGCTCAGGGCTGGGGCAGAGGGTTGGGGTGCGGGGGGGGGTGGGCTCTGGGGTGGGGCCGGGGATGAAGGGTTTGGGGTGCAGGCTGCTCTGGGGCTGCAGTGGGGAGAGAGGCACCTCTCCGCCGGCTGCGGCAGGTCCGCGCTGGGGCCCGGCGGCAATGGCACCTCTCCCCACCATAGCCCTGAGCCCCTGGGCAGGGCTTAATAGGCAGCTGCGTGGCTGCACAGCTTATATGGAACTTAGGTCAAACCCTCCCGCCCCAGATCCTTCCCAGCAGCCCAAGCTCAGGCCTTCCCCAGCCGCTGCACCTGGCTCATGATGAGCAGCGGTGGCTGGTCCCCGTTTGCTGTCCTAGGTGGGGCAGCAGCTCCCCAGCTCACAGGATTTATAGGTTAAATTGTGGGGCAGGGAGGTGACACCCCCATAGCCGTGGCTGGTCTCTGGCCATCCAACTCCCCTGAGCTCTGCACCAGCCGTCAGCCTCAGGACAGGCCATCTGGAGTCACTGCGTAGCACAGGCACAGCGACAGTGACACCCGCCCTTTGCAGGCAAATAACCCCCCCCCCCCGTTTCCCACCTGTGCCCAGCTCCCCCAGGTGTGATGGGGAGATCCCTGCTCTCTAGGGCTCCAGAGCTTGCGGCTCCCACAAGAACTTCCTCCTGAGCACGCTGCTGCTTGCTCTGCTCCTGCAGTCTGAGCCCTGCCCTGTCTCCCGTCCCAGGTGCTTGGGGCTCTTGGCAGAGCCCGGAGCTCCTCTCTAGAGAGCAGCCCAGGAGCCCATAGGGGTGCCAGGGCGTGAGCAAGGAGCCGCGCTCCTCTGGCCTGGCTGGCTCTGGTGCCAGCAGATTCCAAATGCCATTTGTGCTCTTCACACAACAAAGCAACAAGGAAGCACACAGGTGTAGAGGAGTCCCATTACCCATGCCCCTCCCCCATGCCGTGCCGGCCTAGCCCCACACACTCTCCTGTGCCAGAGGGGCTGGGGGCTTCTCAAACACACAGCGCAGCCAGGGCCACTGGAGGCTCACAAATTATTGAAAGGATACGCCCCAAGGCTCATGCAGTCCGACCTGCAGCAGGGGCCAGGCTTTCCATGTGTCAGCATTGGGCTCGTGGCGAGGCCACCGGGCCGGGACCCAGCCCATCACTTCCCAGCTGTGCGACCCGGGAAGTCACTGACTCTCACTGGTCCCCGCTCCCTGCTGGACAGGGCCGCCCAGAGGGGCGGGGGGAGGAGGGGGCAAGTGGGGCAATTTGCCCCGGGCCCCACAAGGGCCCCCACAAGAATATAGTATTCTATAATATTGCAACTTTTTTTTATGGAAGGGGCCCCCAAAATTGCTTTGCCCCAGGCCCCCTGAATCCTCTGGGCAGCCCTGCTGCTGGAGAGGGGTGCACATGCAGGAACGGCAGTACCCAGCAAGAGGGACACGAGAGAGGCAGCTCTCCCATGCCTGCAGAGCTGTCTGGCAAAGCCGTGATGTCCCCCCTGCGTGGCAGCCGCCCGTCTCTTGCTGCACAGGGGGATGGCTGTTCTTGGCCTCTTATGGCCCGCGCTGCAGCAGAGGGCATGACAATGCGAGGCCTCGGGCGGCCCCAGAACAGAGGCTCCTGGGTGCCCAGCCGGGACACCGGGCTCTGGCACAAACCGTGTTCTCGTTCCAAGAAGGAGCTGCCAGTTGCCAGATGTTTGTCAGAAGCCACCACGCAGTGACTGATGCCAACTCTGCACCATGGCGAGGGGCTGGCCTGCACCTCCCCTCAGCCCTCTGACCCACCTCCTGGCAGCAGCTGTGCACCTGAGCTCCCACAGCCAAGCACCTGAACATCCCCGTTTAACGATGCTGGTTCTGGCGGGACACACCTGAGAGTGCCAATTCATGACAAATTGCTTAAAACAGGGCAGTTACAGCCCAAGGCTGGGGTTTTTCCACCTCTAAGGCAAACCAAACCAGCCAGACAAAGAGGACTTTGGTTTTGCCCCACTGGCTAACCACAAGTCACAAAAGCAATTCCCTTAGACACTCCAGTTTCCCAGTATCACCACCAGTGCCACTCGTTATGGGGACAAATGGTTATGAAAACCAATACCCCAGTAAAAGAAAAAAAAGTTCTCCTGATCCCCAGGGACCAAGCCCCAGACCCAGGTCAATATACAAATCAGATCTTTCCCACAAATCATGCTGTTGCCAATCCTTTAGAATCTAAAATCTAAAGGTTTATTCATAAAAGGAAAAAGATAGAGATGAGAGCTAGAATTGGTTAAATAGAATCAATTACACACAGTAATGGCAAAGTTCTTGGTTCAGGCTTCCAGCAGTGATAGAATAAACTGAAGGTTCAAATCAAGTCTCTGGAACATCCCCAGCTGGGATGGGTCATCAGTCCTTTGTTCAGAGCTTCAGTTTGTAGCGAAGTCCCTCCAGAGGTATGAAGCAGGATTGAAGACAAGATGGAGATGAGGCATCAGCCTTTTATAGTCATTTCCAGGTGTAAGGACACCTCTTTGTCCTTACTGTGGAAAATTACAGCAAAATGGAGTCTGGAGTCACATGGGGAGGTCCCTGCATACTTTGCTGAGTTACAAGGCGTATTTGCCTTCTCTCCATGGGTCAGTTGTATAGCTGATGGTCCTTAATGGGCCATCAAGTAGGCTAGGCAGAGCTAACACCAACTTGTCTGGGATGTCTCCCAGAAGCATAGCATAAGTTTGAAATACAGACAGTATAGAGCCAATATTCATAACTTCAACTACAAAATTGATACACACATATAGACAGCATAATCATAACCAGCAAACCCTAACTTTGTCTTAGACACCTCATTTGACCCCCTTTATACAAGATTTGGTGCCACTACAGGACTTGGTTGCAACCATGTTCTATATGATCCCAGTTCAAATCAATAACGTTACACCCTGGCTACATCCTGGGCTGCATCCGCCAGGGAGCTCTGGGTCCACGGCGAGCCGTCCCATCAGAGCGAGCCCGGCTTGTTCTCTGGGGCCTGGGGCCATGGCGAGCCCGGATTGTTCTCTGGGCCCTGGGGCTATGGCGAGCCGTCCCTTCAGAGCGAGCCTGGCTTGTTCTCTGGGTGAGCCGTCCCTTCAGAGCGAGCCCGGCTTGTTCTCTGGGCCCTGGGGACAGTCACCTCTGCAGAGGGGGCGTGAGCTGGTGTCACCCTGAGGCAGCGTGAGGCTCTGGCCATGGGGGGGCAGTGGAGAGAGCATCCGGTGGGGTCCCTGGCATGCCAGGAGGGCAGGGAGCCAGACTCGTTCTCGTGGGCAAGGTGGGAGCGGGCGCGGGGCTGGGCCCGGCTGGAATGCAGGACACTGGCACTTTGTTTGGCAGGGGGTAGGCGGAAGTCAGGGCGTTTGATCTGAATTCTACAGTGTGTTGTTCAGGGTCCCATAAAGGCCTCATTGTATGTGAATAGTTTATAAAGCAGCATATGACTTCCCAGTGCAGGGCAGCGGCAGATAGAGACAAGGGCAGGCAGCGCGGGGGGCTGAGCCGCGCAGAGACATGAGAGCTTAGCGGGGACCCTTCCGGGCTGCTCAGAAAGGACACACTCCTCACCACAAGGTAACACGGCCGCTACAGGCCCCGACCCGTCTCCTGCTCCTGCCCTCTGCAGAGCTCTGCACAGGAGTCAGTGGCACAGGCGGAGCCGACGGGCAGAGGCAGGCGATGGCTGCAAGTTGCGTTTCTGGGTCTGTCCGGGGCTGGCAGCCCCAGCAGGGGAACGGACGCTCGTCCGCTGGGCCCGCTGCGGCTGCTCCCCGTGCTCTGGCAGGGGGCGGGAAGGTGTTGTTGGGGTCCTGGTGCCATTCTATTCTGATGGCCGGTGCAACGTTCTCCCCCGTCGTGGTGCTCTGGCTAGAGGCTGGGAGAAGCGGGCAGGCAGCAGGGGGCTGGGGGACGTCCTGGTGGAAGTGGGTGGCCCAGGTACACCCAGTCACAGCTTATCAGCAGAGCAAACAAGGGCTGGAGCTGTGTGGGGGGAGCGAGGGGCTGGCCCCAGGCGGGGCGGGAGCGCGCGAGGGTAACACGTGCCCTCACTTCCTGGCGTGGAGCAAACAGCAGCAAAGGCCCATGCAGTTCCCTGGCCCCGTGGCACTTGGTGCATGCTGCTCCCTAGCAGGATGTGGGGTGAGCCAGGTGCCCTGGCCCTGGAGAGCACATCACCTGCTGCTGCTTAGTGCTCCGGCCCCAGCAACACCTTTTGGGGCTTGACCCCTCCTCAGCAAGCCACTGACCTGCCCAGATTGAGGCCTTCTGTCCTGCTGAGCTCTCTGCTCCTGCAGGGCCGGGCTGCGGGTGGAGAGCAGAGCCCCTGACTGTGCCCCATGCTGGGGGTCAGCAGCAATCAGTGCGCAGGCCAGGGAAAGCTGCACCCCACCGCACTCCTCCCCACTCCTGAGGGGGAACAGCTGCCCCACAGTCCACCCCAGTCCTCCAGCCGCTGGCCCTAAATCCCGCACCAGAGTGCCCTGGGCTCTGCAGGGTGAGGGAGTGCTGCAATTAATATGCAAATGAGCAATCCAATCAGCACAGACTCCCCAGGCCCCAATCGCTACATGACATTCAATGTATTCTAAGCTTCTCCTACCTCAGCTTCCCCGCGCTGCAGCCGGGGGGCTGAAATCAGCAGGGCGAAGCTGGAGGGTCAGACAGCTGGGGCAAGGGCAGGGGGGGTTTGGAGCTAGAGAGCCCCAGGAGGAGGGAGGGGATGAGCATATTAGTTGGATTCTCCTGTGAAATGATCAGCCATGAGAGTGAACTATGTCGAGAATGAAAAGCACATTGTTAGTGTAACCCACACACCTCCTAGGTGTGGTGTCTGTCCCATCTAGTGGCACCGAGACCACGTAGAGAGATTAATGAGTTTGCTCCGCAGCCTTAGCTGAGCCAGTTGGCTTTTAGCTCATGCTGCAGAGGCCCCAGGTTTGATCCTGCCTGCCAACGACTGGGGTTTGTTGGTGTTAAATTAGGTTTCAGAGTTAACACTTCACTGAGGTGTCCGGATTAGTTCCCAGCTCCCTGTGCTCGTTTCAGGCTGTCTGCAGCCTCTGGCAGAGAGCCTGGTGTTTGTTTCAAAGTGGTCAACATTCTGCAGGCTTCCTTTACAGCATGAGGGCTAGAAACACAGACCAGGAGTGTCACTAGTGGTGACTCAGTGTGGGTGCCCACCTGCAGACAGCCAGGCCTAACATACAGAGTGATCGGCCCCCCAGCTACCACTGGCCAGGCTGTGCGGACACTCACATCAACAGAGGAAAGGGCTAAGTAAGAAGCACGGTGAATGCTGCCCCTGGATCCTCGACTGCTTTTGGCCTCTGGTCTCCAGTCCTCTCAGTCCACAGGGCCCATCTCTAGGGTCTCTGGGCTGCTAACCATCTCCTGCTGCTGTCTCTTGCAGGTGTGAGGCACAATGAATTGGGCAGGCCTCTACACAGTGGTGAGCGGCGTGAACCGCCATTCCACTGCCATCGGGCGCATCTGGCTTTCTGTCATCTTCATCTTCAGGATCATGGTGCTGGTGGTAGCAGCTGAGAGTGTCTGGGGGGATGAGAAATCTGCCTTCACTTGCAACACACAGCAGCCAGGCTGCAACAGCGTCTGCTACGACCACTTCTTCCCCATCTCCCACGTGCGCCTGTGGGCCCTGCAGCTGATCCTGGTCACCACACCCGCCCTGCTAGTGGCCATGCACGTGGCCTACCAGCAGCACCAGGAGAAGAAGCTGCTGGTGCTGACGGGGCACGGCGACACCAAGCACCTGGAGGAGGTGAAGAAGCATAAGATGCGCATCTCGGGCTCCCTGTGGTGGACGTACATCTGCAGCGTGATATTCCGACTCCTCTTCGAGGCCGTCTTCATGTACATCTTCTACATGATCTACCCTGGCTACCAGATGATCCGGCTGGTCAAGTGCGAGGCCTACCCATGCCCCAACACCGTTGACTGCTTCATCTCCCGGCCCACCGAGAAGACCATCTTCACTGTCTTCATGCTGGCCACCTCGGGCATTTGCATCATCCTCAACATGGCTGAGCTGGTGTACCTGGTGGTGCGGGCCTGTGCCCGCCGGGCCCAGCGGGACTCCAACCCCACATCGGGGAAGAGCTCCTTGTACGGCCACAAGCTCTCCACCGAGTACAAGCAGAACGAGATCAACCAGCTGCTGACGGAGCAGGACGGCTCCCTCAAGGACATGCTGCGCCGCAACCCGGGGCTGCAGGAGAAGAGCGATCGCTGCTCCGCCTGCTAGAGGCACCAGCCCCATTGGGTGGGGGCCCTGCCATGGCACAAGGCCCTTATCCCTCAGCCCTCCACCGGGAGCCATGGGGGACAGGCTCTGCAGGGAGACGAAGAGTATTGAACGGAGCCTGTTGGTACACTCATGACTGCCTGAGCTCCGGCCCTGGGACACTGCCAGCTTGTGCACAGGTGTTGTGCCAAGGCCTTCCCCCCGCACTGCCATGGGCCCACGGCCACGCACAAGCCCAGTCATCACACCCTGAAACCCGTCAGAAAGGCTGGGGCGGCTGCAGAACGCTCGGAATTTGCCTTAATTCATTGTGTGATGTCCCCCAAGCCCCACCGGTGCCCCCAACAGAGGCCCTGTCTCCTGCAGGGAAAGGAGCCATCCTCATTGCGGGGCCCAGCCCCCCGTGGCTGCTGAGACAGAGGACACCAGGTGGGGCCTGGCAAGTGGAGTGTCGGAAGTGTCGGCCATTAAAGCTGTGTTTTCAGGAGCTGCCTCTCTCCCTTTGTCACCTGGGGTTTGGTGAAGGCTCAGGATCCCCAGGGCAGCGGGACTGCAGCCCCCCCCAAACCCTGCCAGGCCAGCCCGCTGGGCCAGTTCCTTCCTGTCCTGCTGGGGGCTGGGCCAAGCACAGACTGAACAGGGAGCTGCATCCCCCCAGACACCTGCCAAACCCTCCAGGCTTCCCACGGCAGCCAGGCCCTTCCCCTGTGTCCTGCATGGCAGTGTGGTATCCGGGGGCTGCTCGGACCCTGCCCAGCCCCGCAATGCTGCCAGAAGGCTGCAGACTGCCCAGGTTCTGTGAGCATACTGTGAGGGTCCATCTGTCCTGGGCTCACAGTTCCTTGGTCAGCATGGGATGCTTTCCAGCACCATGGGCAGCAGGACAGCTCTCTCCCCCAGGGCCAGGACCCATCTTGCTGCACATGCAAGTCCCAGACCCCTGTGCCCCCTGCCCCTGCTGGACGGGGCACACTCACAGGCCAGAGACCACTTCAAAGCCCAGCTCTGTAACATACCAGGGCACAATCCAGACTAGTTGGGGGCTGTGTCACCCCTGCCCTGCAACCTTGGGTGCCTTGCTGTAGCAGCTCCCACTCGGGCTGCTCACAAACAGCCTCCAGCATGCAGGGCAGCCTCTGAGTGTCTGTGTGTGACTGCACCCAGCCAGCCTGGGTTACACTGCAGGGTGACCCCAGCACACCCCCAGTCCTGGATCTTCCCCCAGAAATGTACATCCAGCCTGGCCTGGACAGCAAATATCTTAAATCCAATATTCCTTTAATGGAATAATATGCCAGTTAATTACCTTAGATAGTTCTTCAGACACTTCACTTAAACACACTGGCTTAGATAAAACAGCCAAACATGTTTATTAACTACAAGGAGAGAGATTTGAAGTGAGTGTTATAAGACAGGACTCCTAGGTTTCATCAAGGAGTATCAGATGTGAAACAGCAGTAAGGTATTTAAGAAGCCAACTCAAAGAGTTCCTCCTACACAAGCATTCAGGTCTTGAGCAGTCCAGGCAAACAACGCACGTTACAAAGCTTAAACTTGTTCTTCATAATTTTAAAAACAATACTAGCTGCCTAGTTAATTTTAAAATCAGCAAAAAATATCCACCTCCCTTTCCATTTCTTATAAGAAGTCTTGAAGTTTAAATCTCCTCAGTGTGATAAATATGCTTGCTTTAGGGTGACCAGACAGCAAATGTGAAAAATTGGGACAGGGGGTGGGGGTAATAGGAGCCTATATAAGAAAAAGACCCCAAAATCGGAATTGTCCCTATAAAATTGGGACATCTGGTCACCCTAGCTTGCTTTGATCTGCTTAGCTCTTGGAAGTCCAGGGGGTCTGGGCTGCTGGCCCCAGGCTGCCTGGGGTCCCTAGGGACAGCTCTGTCTGCCATTAGGGCATTTTTTCCTGAGAACCCCCTGTAACATTTCGCAAACCCCAGTTTGGGAACCACTATTCTAGGGAATGGTAGGAGGGAGAACAGCAAAATAAAGACAATGGATTTCAAGATGGCAGACTTTAGCAAACTCAGGGAGTTGGAAGGTAAGATCCCATGGGAAGCAGGGCCGGCTCCAGGCACCAGCCCACCAAGCATGTGCTTGGGGTGGCACCTGGAGGGGAGCGGCGTGGCGCTCCGGCCCGAGAGCGGGGCCGCGACTGGGCTCGCCGCCCTCCCCGCGGCACTCCGGCCGCTGGGGAGAGCGGAGCCGCGGCGGGCTCGCCGCCCTCCCCCCGGCGCTCTGGCGGTGGGAGGCTTTTTTGCCTGGGGCGACAAAAAAGCCAGAGCCGGCCCTGATGGGAAGCAAGTCTAAGGGGAAAAGCAATTGAAGACCATTGGCAGTTTTTCAAAGAGATGTTATTAAGGGAACAAGAGCAAACTATATTACTGTGTAGGAAAGATAGGAAGTATGGCAAGAGACCAGCCTGGATTAACCAGGAGATCTTCAATGATCTAAAAATCAAAAGAGTCCTACAAAAAGTGGAAACTAGGTCAAATTACAAAGGATGAATATAAACAAATAACAAAAGTATGTAGGGACAAAATTAGAAAGGCCAAGGCACAAAACGAGATCAAACTAGCTAAAGACATAAAAGGAAACAAGAAAACATTCTGCAAATACATTAGAAGCAAGAGGAAGACCAAGGACAGGGTAGGCCCATTACTCAACAAGGGGAAAAACAACAGAAAATGTGTGAATGGCAGAGGTGCTTAATGACTTCTTTGTTTCTGTTTTCTCCAAGAAGGCTGGTGGCGATTAGACGCCTAACATAGTGAATGCCAGTGAAAATGAGGTAGGACTAGAGGCAAAAATAGGAAAAGAACAAGTTAAAAATTACTTAGACAAGTTAGATGTCTTCAAGACACCAAGGCCTGATGAAATGCATCCTAGAATACTCAAGGACCTGACTGAGGAGATATCTGAGCCATTAGCGATTATCTTTGAAAAGTCATGGAAGACGGGAGAGATTCCAGAAGACTGGAAAAGGGCAAATCTAGTGCCCAGCTATAAAAAGGGAAATAAGGACAACCTGGGGAATTACAGACCAGTCAGCTTAACTTCTGTACCTGGAAAGATAATGGAGCTGTAGCGAGGCGATGGGATACCCCACAGCCCTGCGGAGGGACGAGCCTCCCCTAGCACCAATGTGGGCGGAGCTAGAGGGTCCTGCGCCCGCCCCCCACAGGTCACGGCACAGGACAGGAAGTAGAAAAGCCCCGCTGCAGAGCTCACTTGAAGGCCAGCCGCCGGAGAGGCCAGATGCCTGTGGCCTAGCTCCGGGTTGGGAAACGCCGGCAGGCCGAGCCTACCCCTCGCCAGCTACCCCGAGGGGCAGCCGAGCCTACCCCTCGCCAGCTACCCCGAGGAACCGATGGTGCTGGAAACGGCCGAGGACACTGGCCAAACCCAGGTACCTTACGAGGGGGAGTCCGGAAGTAGCCTGGGGGCAGCCGACCCTGGCCTGGCCGCAGCAGGGCCAGAACCAATGTCAGTGTGTTGTGGCCAGGATCCCCACTGACACAGCAGCGGGTCTTCTGCCACTGTTAGGGCCCCGGGCTGGGATGCAGTGAAGTGGGTGGGCCTGCGTCCCCCCTGCCACCCCATTCATGGGTGGCAGTCTCCCCCTCGCACCAGATGCTCAGAAGCCTGAGCTCCTGACGGTTTGTTTGCTGCCCTGCCCTGACCTAGGGCCAGGGCTCACACTGAACTATTGGCTCAGCCCCTGCCTAAGGGCCTGAGCTCCTGACTGTGTGTTTGCTGCCCCGCCCTGACCTAGGGCTTGGGCCCATAGCGAAGCAAATAATTAAGCAATCAATTTGCAAACATCGAGAAGAAAATAAGGTGGTAAGTAACAGCCAGGATAAATTTGTCAAGAACGAATCGTGTCAAACCAACCGGATAGCTTTCTTTGACAAGGTAACAAGCCTTGTGGATGGGGGGAAGTGGTCTACATGGTCTATCTTGGCTTTAGTAAAGTTTTTGATACTGTCTCCCATGACCGTCTCATAAACAAACTAGGGAAACGCAACCTAGGCCTTCAGTAACTGCTACCAGTAGCGCATTCCTATGGAGAGCAGTTTAATACATTACACCTGCTGCAGTTTTTGCAGTTACACCGGCCCCACCCAGCAGCTGCAATCAGACCACAGGAGCCCACAGGCAGAGAGGGGCAGTGCCTGAGGCCCCAGCAATGGCAGGGAAATGAGTCAGTGACACAGACCCAGAGAAACCCGCCCCCTCACCCCCCAGGCTGCAGAGGAAGGCAAACAACCCAAGGTCCCTGCCAGTCTGACCTGGGGGAAATTCCTTCTTACTCGAGATAGTTAAGTCCAAAGCAGATTGCGAAGAGTTACAAAGGAATCTCACAAAACTGAATGACTGGGCAACAAAATGGCAGATGAAATTCAATGTTGATAAGTGCAAAGTGATGCAGAGTGAAAAACATAACTCTAAACTATCCATACAAAATGATGAGGTCTAAATTAGCTGTTACCGCTCAAGAAAGAGATCTTGGAGTCATTGTAGATAGTTCTCTGAAAACATCCACTCAATGTGCATCGGCAGTCAAAAAAGCTAACAAAATGTTAGGAACCAATGGAAAGGGATAGCTAATAAGACAGTAAAAATCATATTGCCACTATATAAATCCATGGTACGCCCACATCTTGAATACTGTGTGCACTTCTGGTCGCCCCATCTCAAAAAAGATATATTAAAATTGGAAAAGGTACAGAGAAGAGCAACAAAAATGATTAGGGGTATGGAACAGCTTCCGTATGAGGTGAGATTAAAAAGCCTGGGACTCTCTCTCAGAAAAGAGATGACTAAGGGGCGAGTTGATAGATGTCTATAAAATCAGGACTGGTGTGGAGAAAGTGAATGAGGAAGTGTTATTTACCCCTTCTCATAACACAAGAACCAAGGGGCAACCAATGAAATTACTAGGCAGCAGGTTTAAAACTACACAAGGAAGTTCTTCTTCACACAGCGCACAGTCAGTGTAGGAACTTGTTGCCAGGGGATGTTGAGCAGGTTGTGGGTTCACAAAAGAAATGAGAGATGTTCCTGGAGGACAGGTCCATCAATGGCTATTAGCCAGCGGTCAGGGACCTGCTCTGCCCTGGGTCAGAACAGTCCCTGCTGCTGGGGCTGCAGCGTGTGGGCACGTAGCCAGGCTGTGCCCGGGACAGGCAGAGGGGCCGTCCCACAGCTGGCCCAGGACAGGGTTTGTGCTGGGGACGTGTCTGGTGTTTCATGGATCTCACTGGACAGGCTGAGCCCTGGTACCCCATCCGCCCAGTCCCCTGCCCTCTGAGCTTCTACAAACTCGGGGGGGAGGGGCAGCAAACTCCACCTCTTCACTATAAATATTAACAAGGGGGCGTGGCTACACTGCATGCCCTGTCCCCACTGCAGCGAGAATGGCAAGGAGGGCTTTGCAAGCCTCCACCCTTCCCTGTGCAGGATCCCAGGGGGGCCCTGGTCCGCTGAGCCTTGTTGTGCAGCTGCAGCACAGGGCTCTGACCGTAGTGCACCCCAGCTGGCCAGGTGAGCGGGGATGCACCAGGGGCTGCACTGGCCGCTCCCGCACGTTGGGGCATGGTCCCCCCCCAGTTCAGGCAGAGCCTTCCATCCTTGGGCACCGGGCAGCCGCGTGGAGGAGCCCAAGGCACCATGTGAGGACGGCGTCAGAGATGGGGCGTTTGTAGAGGCTCCCAGGCCCAGCAGCGCATGGAGCAGGTCGGTCAGGAAAACGACCCTCCAATGGCATTGAGGCGGCCAGAGCCAGTGAATTGCTTGGGCTCGGTCACAGAGAGCTCCCCCCCTCGCTGCCCCTACACCCTTCCCTGCAGTAGGGATTATATTTAGAAACATGCTCAAGCCAAAAATAAAGAGGTAAAGAGATTTCCCAGTGGCTGTTTCCGCTGTCAGTCATGGTGACAGCCACGAAGCGCCTGTTCCAACAACCTGCATAAAACATGCTAGGCAGACAGACAGACAGACTCGGACGCCTGCCCCTTGCCAGAGACCAGCTGGACACCTCTGCCCCCGGAAGAGGAGCTGGGACACGTCCTGGTGGGGCTGCGGGGATCTACTACCCCAGAGGCACGGGGCAGCTGAGTTGCCTCCACGGCCACAGGATCTGCAAACGGTGAGGGGGTTTCTTTGCCTTTTGCCTGGCCTGTGGTCTCATGGCAGCTGCCAAATGCACTAGGCACTGGTGTCTGCTCCAATTTGCTCAAATGGGCCCCGACCCTGCCCTCCATTGGTCTGTGGGAGAAACACCAGCCCTTCGCCCCAGCCTCGCCCTTGTGTGGCCCTGGCTGCATGGGGAGCAGCTGTGGGCTGGGCGTCTGCCTCAGCTGCCTGTGGTGCAGGACGGGCTCCTGGTGCAGCGCTTTGCGAGCCCCACGTAAAGGGCTTGAGCAAAACGGCTTTGACTTGAACTCTAGCCTTGGAGCTTTCAACTTGGGTTAATCCCTAGAAGAGGAAGCGCAGTGCAGCCACCTGACTCCCTCCACAGGGACCTGCTCAGCTGTTCTGTTCAGGAGGCCACTGATTTCCAGCTGCCCTGAGAGGCTGCTGCAGAGCTAGGAACAGAACTGAGCCATGCTGGACCTGGGGCCACCTCAGAGCCAGTCTCCAGCAGTGAAAGGGCTGCAGCCCAGTGCTGCTGTCAGTGCAGCCAGTCCCCAGCAATCAGTGCTCTTAAAGCGGGATACCGGGGCCAAACAGGGGTTAATCCTGGAGGGGTTTTGCAGCCACAGGCAGCTGATGGGCTCAGGTAGCCTCAGGTTAACCCACTCCCTGCCCTGGCTTTGCTCTTGAGTCAGGCACATGGCTTTTACAAACACATCCCTGGCAGCAAAAGACAAGCATGGCTGTGAGCTGTATCAGGCATTGCTGTTCTGGGACCCCAGGGAGGAAGCTCCAGATGCCGGCGTGTGCAGCGGGAACCAGGGAGGGCTCTGCTGTAGGGATGTGCCCAGTGCAGGGTGCCCCCATGCCAGCTTCTCACAGGTCTGGAGCAGCGCAGGGTGCTGGAGTCTCTGGGATGCCGACGTCTGGGCGTGTTCCTCTCTTTTAGGATGAGCCGGTATTTGCACTCATGGGTGACTGGAACCTGCTGGGGAGGCTTCTGGAGAGTGCTCAGCAGCACTCCACAGTGGTGGGGAAGGTCTGGCTCACTGTCCTGTTCATTTTCCGTATCCTTGTCTTGGGGGCAGCTGCCGAGAAAGTCTGGGGGGACGAACAGTCGGGCTTCTCCTGCGACACCAAGCAGCCAGGCTGCCAGAACGTCTGTTATGACGAAACCTTCCCCATCTCCCACATCCGCTTCTGGGTGCTGCAGATCATCTTCGTCTCCACCCCCAGCCTCGTCTACCTGGGCCACATCCTGCATCTGGTGCGCATGGCGGAGAAGGAGCAGCAGCGAGAGGAGACTTGGGGGGCCCAGCAGGAACCCCTGGTGCAGCATAAACCCTCCATCAAAGATGTTCATGGCAAAATCCGCCTGCAGGGGGCCATTCTGAGGACATATATTTGCAACATTGTCTTTAAGATGCTCTTTGAGGTGAGCTTCATTGTGGGCCAGTACGCACTGTATGGGTTCGAACTAAAGCCCCTCTACACGTGCAACCGCTGGCCCTGCCCCAACACAGTCAACTGCTATATAGCCCGGCCCACCGAGAAGACCATCTTTATTCTCTTCATGACGGGGGTGGCCTGCCTGTCTCTGCTCCTCAACCTGATAGAAATGTACCACCTGGGCTTCACCAAGTGCAGGCAGAGGCTGGCAGCCGACCACTGTCGGGCACCCACCCCCAAGGCCAGCTCCAACGCTCCCAGAGAAACAAGCGGCCACCACATTCCCCACTGTCCTGCACCCTACAGCCTTCCCCATGCCGCTGACCCCAGCCTTCCATTGCAGCCTTACGCCAGCCAAGCTGCTCCCTCAGCGGGCGGGGACAGCTGTGCAGCACGGAGCAGCCGCGAGACAGGCACCCAGGGTCTGGTCATGGAAGAACTGTTGCAGCAGGGCAGCAGGTCCAGTAAATCCAGCACTAAGCTGAGACCCAGTGACTTGGCTGTTTAAGGAGGCGGCCCATCCCTGCACTGAGAGCCTGTTGCACTGGCCCAGGGCTGACAGGCAGGGGAAGGGGGCTCTTGTACCAGACAAGCACCGTTACCACGAGGCTGCATCACAGGGCGCACAGCTTGGCTTAGGAGCCTGTTGTGTTTCCATGGATACCATGTTGTCCCCACCATGGAAATACTGGGCCCATAATACAGACGCCAGTGTCCAGGAGCCTGAACCCTGGGCCAGACGTGCACAGCTCAAGCCCTCTCCCTTCAGTGGCGCTGCAGCAGCCTTGTGGCTGTCGGGGGCAGAAGGCAGGGAGTGGGCCGGGAGCCGACGGGGGTAAATGCTCTATACTTGATAGGACGCAGGCAGGGCCTGTAGCTTTTCCTTCCCCATGTGACAAGGCCTCCGGGCTGCGTTGGACCTGGGCAGCCCCACTGGTGTTTCCCCTTTTCTGGATAGAGAGCTGTCCCCGCCCTCCCCCCAGCCTGACCTCCGCTCCTGGGCAGTAACATTGCTCAGGAAGGCCCCAGCAGAGACTCCTAGTAGGTGGCTGCTCAGGGCCAAGAGACCCTCCCAGGCCCCAGCAAGGAGAATGGGACTGGACATAGCCTCTGCCACGCACCTGGGCCCAGCTGGATGTTCCACAGCTTTACAGGCTGCTGCTGTAACAGCCTGTCCGGGAAGATGGTGCTGCTCCGAGCAGGAAGGCCTAGGCCCCACTGCTGCTGCCTCCTAGCCCCACGGCTCCCTCCCCAGCCCCACGCCCCAGCCGGGGTGACTCTCAAGCCATCTCTACCTCCGAGGGCAACGCGTGTGGGGAAGCAAAGACTGCAGCTGTGATGTTCAGGTGATGTTGAGGTTTCAGCAGCAGCTACAGCTGTTGGGCAAGGCAGCACTGGACCCCCGTATTTGGGCACCCCCTGCTGTGATGTGACTGAATTCTCTCTCTTGTGAAAAGGGGAGGGACCACCACTGCAGCTGGAACTAGGACTAGCCCAGGAAGCTTCTTCCAAGGCTGACAGCAGCTGGCGAGACGGCGCCTGCAGGGCCCACCATTCATTTCAGCCCCCCAGCGCTAGATCACGTTCATCTCATTGCAGGGAGGCTCCGTGAACCTGGACCTAGGGCTGCTTGCTGTCTCCTGTCCACATTCTCCTCTGGTCCCACGCAGGACTGGTCAGATTGCCAGAGGGAGAATTGTAGCCTCTGGAGAAGGCTGTGTTGCACACAGGGTGCCCCTCACGCCCTCAAGGGCACAGCCCAGCCACTCCCTGCTTAGCTCATAGGAGATGGAGGCAGGAAGGCCATGGCCCTCCCTCCCCCCATGCAGGCCAGGCCGGCTCCTACCACAGTTCATAGCTTCTAATGCCAGAAGTGACAGGCCACCATGGGGTGGGTTTGGGCCCTAGCTCAGGCAGAGCTAGCACGTCGACCCATGCTGGGAATTACAGCTCCCAGCTGCTGGATAGGTGCCCTGGCAGGTGAGCTGCCAGACCTGGTCATACATCCGTCACAGACCCTGGGATGGATCAAGCATAACTCCCTGATGACTGAGCCCTTGAGACAGGCAAGGGGGCGGCAGCCCTAGCCTCCTCCCTGGAGCAGAGGCAGCCCCTGCTCTGCCCTTCAGTGGATTAAGGACAGCAGCTGCCGGCAGGTTTTTGCATCTTTATTTGAAATGAATGGTTTCTAGAGACACAAGGTTAGCCTAATGCCCCGTTAGCACTACAACAAGACCGGTGACTGGCTCACTCTTGACATGGAGACAGAGGGCCCCGGGCCAGGTCCCAGAACAATATATACAGACTCAACAGACAGTGCCGAGTCCCATTGACAGCTGATAAAAAATCAAAACAAAACACCAAGGGGAGGGAGCCAGAAGGGAACAGCAAAGCTGGGGCAGGGGCTGGGCAAGCAGAGAGACCCAGGCAGGCTCCACTCCTTTGTCGGCCTGCGGCCCCCCTCCACTGCTTGCAAGTTCTGGCCTGGCGCGGCCCAGCAGGATTCTCAGTCTAATGCAGGCTTGGAGGAGACGGGCCCAGCAGCAATGAGTCCAGGCACAGAGGCTACCTCCTCCATCTGATAGTGTCAGGCTAGCAACGGGGGCACCGTCCATTCTGCTAGAGCTTGGGGGGCAGGGAGGAAGGGAGGGGCCCCTGTTCGTCAGCTCTGGCAGCGAGGATGCCCCTTGGCTCCCATGCCCAATGCAGAATTCAGACCTTCAACGGCCCCCAGTAGCTGTTGTGAGTGCACAATGCAGGGTGAAGCCACAGCTAATGCAGAGCTGGGGAAGGGAGATCCCAGGAGCCCTCTGGGCAGTGAGCTCTGCGCTGCTGAAGAGGAGAATGAGATGAGGAGCCAGAGACAGCACAGCCAGGCCCCTCTGGGAACGCAGCCCCCTCCAGCAGAGCTGGGAATGGTCCAGCCCACAGAGTCAGCGTCTAGGAATGGCCCTGCTACCCCGGCTGGCACGGCTCCTCCCAGGGCCCTGCGTGCTGAGCATGGCTCACTTCCCCACTCCTGCTGCTTGGGCAGGGAGCTGACTGTAGACTCAGGGCCTCCTGTGCGGGCTGCTAGGCCCTGCCTGTCCCCACTGCACTGAGCAGTCTCTTCCCCATGTTACACCAGGCAGGGGGAGACTGAAAACGGCCCTGGGGAGAAGGGACAGGCAGGGCTCACCGGCCAGTGCCCTTTGGGGCTCCTGGCTGGGAGAGGGACTGGCTCTGTATCTCCACCCCAGGAAGACAGGCGGGGGAAGTGGGACACTGCCCCAGTCAGGCAGAGCACAGGTAGGGCCTGGGTGCCAGGAGCTGGTGGGGGAGGGGGACGGCATGTTACTAGCATCAGGCAGGGATGTTCAGAGTCCTACACGCGCTGAGCTGGACAGCGCTACCACGTCTGCAGGGCTGGGAGCGGCACTACACCCCCATGCCGTGCCATGCCACACTCACATGCCGCAACCCTGGCCAGATACGAGGAGCAGGGGAGACACCTTCCCAGGCCAGAGCAGACCCAGCCCAGCGGGCTCTGGGTGCCGCCTGCCCACGCTCCAGCCCTGGCCTGCGCTCAGTCCATGTCCTCCTCCAAGCCGCTGCCCCGGCTGTGCTCCTCGTAGATCTCCCGGACGGCCAGGATGCGATTCAGCATGCTCTCCAGCATGCTCCTGTCCATGGGGATGACCGAGTACCAGAGAGGCGACTCTGCAATGCACGACCGCTCTGGCTGCAGGTAGAAGACGTCGTTCCGGTTCCGCAGGCTCTCTGGACTGTGGCAAGAGAGGGGCACAGTGAACCTCACCCTAGAGGCCAGAAAGCCCTGGCCTCCTCAGCCACCCTGAGCCCATAGGGTCCTTCCCTCTTGACCTGGAACCCAGCAAGCCCCCCAGGGGACCAGCGGGCCCCGGTGCCCCCCCCATTCACCCAGGAGACAAGGAGAGGCCTAAAGCCCACTTGTCTGAGGTCTGTAAAGGAGGCACTATAGCACTTAGGGCACTGCTCGTCCTCCTGCAGGGACGGGCCCATGAGCCGGGCTTGGAGCTCCTCTCCCAAGGTGACCTGGGACGATGCTCATGGCAGGCAGGAGTGGGGGGTCCCGAGGCACCACAGCCACCTCCTCCTGCCAATCCGAGGGGAGGGAGGGACGGCGCCCACTGAGACGAGTTACTCAGCCCAGGGGCTGTGATCACAGCACTCCGGCAACGGCAGAGACAGGTCGGACTTGGGGATTTGAGAAACCAACCCCTGGAGACGCGCTCTTCAGGCCTCCTGCTTCACTGGCAGGACCCTGGCAGTCAGTGCTCTGCACAGCTCTTTGCAAAGGCAGCACATGTCGGGGGCAGCCTCGGGCCGCTCTGCAGTGTCCTTCCAGCCAGTCGAGGGGCCAGACTGGACACACGGGGCTGCAGGAGAGCAGGGGATGCCCCAGGGCGGTGGCTCTCTCTCCCCGGGAAACTCACCATTTGGAGAGATAGAATTCATAGAACTTGACCGGGCACCGGAGTGGGTTCATCCTGTTCTCCCGCTGCTCCAGGATCGGCAGCTCCTCCTCTCGCTTCCGCTTCCCAGAACTGCTGTCTGCAGAGAGAGGCCAAGTCAGAGCAGCACACACGCGGGGCAGGGGCGGGGAGACAGACACGCGCAGGCCCCTACCTCGCCCTTTTTTCTGCCGGACGGGGGCGTAGTAGCGGATGCTCACCACCTTGGTGGTGCCCCGGGCTGTAGTGCACTTGCGGGACTGGCGTACCACATTGGTGAAGGACAGCTGCATGTGCTCCTCCGCAGTCTGCAGGCCGAAGAACTTGGTGTTGAAGAACATGAGGGTGTTGAGGAGGACAAAGGGGGAGTACACCCCCAGCTGCTTACACTCCCAGAGATGCTCCTCCTCCACACGGGAGAAGATCGTATCTGCAAGCACACAGCGGAAGAAGCTGGGTCACACGCATCTGTCATGCTGCGGGTTCCCCGGCAAGGTCTGGCCTGGCAGGGAGACTGGAGGGGATGTGGCTGCCACCACCAGCCCAGCTTCAGCCATGTGTGTCAGGGGAACATCAGCCAGGGGACTGGGGTCCTCCCCTGGATCTCTCTCCCTGCCTTGGGCAGAGGGAGCTTGGCCCAGTGGCAGGACAACACCTGTTACAGCAGGGACCCTTGCCCTGTGGAGTGCCCAGGTCCAGATGGAATAGCCAGAGGAGCCATGCTTGCAGCGCCAACTGACACCAGGCTGGGAGCTGTCCCGCTGTACCCTCCCCAGCCATGACCCAAACTAGGTTAACCCACCACAGCACAACTGGTGCAAGCCAGCCCCAGACCAAACCAAGGGCCCCCGCCTCGGTACTGAGTGTCACGCACAGCTGCATGTGCTAGTACAATCAGAAGGAAAGGGAGAGCAGCAGGCAGGACAGGATCAGGCAACTCCCATGCAAAACCAAGGCAAACTGCTCCAGCCCAAGAGCCTCCCCTGGCAGGCAAGAGGCTGGGACAGTTAGCTCGACTGCTATCAGGGTACATGGA